CGCCTCGCCTAACAATAAACATGATCTTTGGTGGTGTTGAAGTAAATGAAGTGACATTTTCAGCAGCAAAGAAGTAGAAGATCTCGATAACTCGTGGAAAGAGGATCTGAGAAGCATAAAAACAACCTTATAAAAAATAGTCACCACCTCGCCATGATCGTTACTCTTTTTACGACATTTTAGGGCCATAAAACTGGAATTCCGTCCGATTCTTAGATTTTCGTGTGCTATAGCTCACGCTTCTGCATGGGCTCGGGTGCCCGTACCCAGATCGCCTAAAATTTTGCGAGACCATAAAAGAAAATCTAAGGAACAATAGTCACTGCCCCGCCATGATCGTTACTAGTTTCTTGGCGTTTTAGGGCCATAAAACTGGAATTCTACCTAATTTCCGTATTTTCATGTGCTAAAGTCCATGCCTTTTACATGGACCCAGGTTCCAGACCCGGATCGCCTAAAATGTTATCTCACTATAAAAAATGATTTAAGGAACAATAGTCACCGCCTCGCCATGACTGTTACTCGTTTTTTGGCATTTTAGGACCATAAAACTGGAATTCCGCTAGATTTTCATATTTTCATGTACTATAAATCACACCTTCTACATGGGACTGGGCGCCAAACCCGGATAGCCTAAAATTTTTCCATACCATAAAAACAACTTAAGGAACAATCATCACTGCCTCGAATGACCATTACTCATGTTTTGGAGTTCTAGGGCCATAAAATTGGTATTCCGTTCTATTCCAAGATTTTCATGTGCATAGACCACACCTTCTGCATGGGCTATTAAAAACGACCAAGGAACAATAGTCACCTCCTCGCCATGACTGTTACTTGTTTTTGGCGTTTTAGTGTCATAACATTAAAATTTCGTCAAATTCTCACATTTTCGTGTGTTACGGCCCACGCCTTCTGCATAGGCTCGGGTAACTAAATCGGGATCGCCTAAAATTTAGCCGAGCAATCAAAACTGACCTAAGGAACAATATTCACTGCCTTGCCATGACCAATACCGTTTTTTGGCATTATTGGGGCATCAACTAGAATTTCATCCGATTCCTTCCCAGATTTTCGTGTGTTGTCCATGCCTTCTAAATGGGCTCAGGCGCCTAGACCTTGATCGCCTAAAAAATTTTCTGGCCGTAAAAAATGACCTAAAGAACAATACTCATTGCCTCATCATGACCGTTACTCATTTTTTGGAATTTTAGGGCCATAAGCTTGAATTTCGCTGATTCTCAAATTTTCATGTGCTATTGCCCATGCCTTCTGCATGGGCCCCGGCGTCCAGATCCGCATCGCCTAAAATTTTATTGAACTATCAAAAACGAACTAAGCAACAATAATCACCGCCTTTCCATGACTAGTTACTCGCTTTTTGACGTTTTAGGGCCATAAAACAAGAAATTTCGTTCGAATCCAAGTTTTTCGTGTGCTACAGCCCACGCCTTCTACATGGCCCTAGGTGCCCGGACCCGGATAACCTAAATTTTTGCCAGACCATCAAAAACAATCTAAGGAACAATATTCACCACCTCGCCATGATCTTTACTTGGTTTTTGGCATCTTAGGGCTATAAAATTAGAAATTCACCCGATTCCTAAATTTTTGTATGCTATAGCTCACGTCTTATGCATGGGCCCGAGCCCTGGATCGCCTAAATTTTTCCGGACCATCAAAAATGACCTAAGGAACAGTAGTCATTGCATCGCCATGACAGTTACTCGTTTTTTGGTATTTTAGGGCTATAAAACTGGAACTCCGCCTGATTCCTAGATTTTTGTGTGTTATAGCCCACTCCTTCTGCATGCATTCGGGCCCCGGATAGCCTAATATTTTGTCGGACCATTAAAATAACCTAAAGAACAATATTCACCGCATTGCCATGACCATCACATTTTTTTTGTTGTTTTTAAGCCCATAAAACTTGAATTCAGCCTGATTCCTAGATTTTCGTGTGTTATAGCCCACTCTTGCATGGGTCGAGGCGCCTGGACCCGGATCGCCAAAAATTTTGCCGGACCATCACAACGACCTAAGGAACAGTAGTCACCGCCACACCATGACCGTTACTCATTTTTTGCCTTTTTAGGGCCATAAAACCAGAATTTCGCTCGATTTCCAAAAGTATAGCCCACGCCTTTTGCATGGACTCGGGGGACCACACTCTGATCGCCTAAAATTTGTTCGAATCATCAAAAATGATCTAAGTAATAATAATCACCATTGCCATGAATGTTACTCAATTTTTGGCATTTTAGCACCATATAACAGGAATTTCTCGCAATTCCTAAGTTTTCGTGTGCTAGAGCCAAAGCCTTCTGCATGACGCCTGGACCCGGATTACCTAAAATTATGTTGGATCATCAAAAATGACCTAAGAAATAATAGTTACCACCTTTCCATATCCGTTACTCGTTTTTAGCGTTTTAGGGCCATAAATTGCAATTTCGCCCCATTCCTATATTTTGGTGTGCTATAGGTCCGGGCGCCCATATTCGGATCGCTTAAAATTTTGTCGGACCATCAAAAATGAACTAAGTAATAATAGTCATTGCCTCACCATGAACGTTACTCTTTTTTGGCGTTTTAGGGCAAAAAACTGAAATTCTGCCGGATTCTTAGATTTTCGTGTGATATAGCACGCCTTCTACATGGGCCGTGATCGCCTAAATTTTGCCGGACCATAAAAAAAACTAGGAATAATAGTCAACGCATCTCCATGATCGTTATTCTTATTGGCATTTTAGGGCCATAAAACTAAAATTCCGCTTGATTCCTAGATTTTTGTGTGTTATAACCCAAGCCTTCTGCATGAGCCTGGGCGCCTGGACATGAATCGCCTAAAATTTTATCGGACCATCAAAAACAACATAAGGAACGATAATCACTGCATCGCCATGATCGTTACTCATTTTTTGGCATTTAAGGCCATATAATTGAAATTTTGCCCGATTCTCAAATTTCGTGTGCTACCCTATGCCTTCTGCATGGGCCTGGGGGCCCTGACCCGGATCGCCTAAAAATTTTCTGGACCATCAAAAACAAACTAAGGAACAACCACCACCTCTCCATGACTGTTACTCGATATTAGGCGTTTTTGGGGCATAAAATTGAAATTCTACATGATTCTCAAATTATCGTGTGCTATAGCCCACGCCTTCTGCATGGACCCCAGCGACCTAGATCGCCTAAAAAATTTCCAGACCATCTAAAACGATATAAGGATAGTCACCGCCTTGCCATGTTCGTTACTCGTTTTTTGGTGTTTTAGGGACATAAAACTAGAATTCCACTCGATTCTCAAATTTTCGTGTGTTATGAGCCCGGTCACACTATCCCAGATCGCCTAAAAATTTGTCAGACCACAAAAAATGACCTAAGTAACAATACTCACCGAATCGCCATGACCCTTACTCTTTTTTGGCATTTCAGGGCCATAAAACTGGAATTCTGTTGGATTCTCAAATTTTCGTGTGCCATAGGCCAGTGAGCCCGAATCGCCTGATTCCCAAATTTTTATGTGCTCTGGGCCAGGGAGCCCAGACTAGGATCGCCTAAAATTTTGATAGACCATCAAAAATGACCTAAGGAACAATAATCACCGCATCTCCATGAACGTTACTCTTTTTTTTGGCGTTTTCGGGCTATAAAACTAGAATTCCGCCTAATTCTCCCGATTTTTGTGTGTTATAGCCCAGGCCTTCTGCATGGGCTCGGGCATCGAGACACGAATCGCCTAAAAAAATTTCGGACCATTACTAAGGAACAATAGTCACTATATCGCCATGAATAGACATTTTGAAGACCTTATTAATCGTACGAGAATAAAGATAGAGTCCCGTTCTATATGTCAATACCGGCAACAATAAAATTTATAGTAAGAGGAAAATCTGTCGATACTCGTTTTACCAATTTAGGGTCATAAAACTAGAATTCTGCCCGATTCTCATATTTTTGTGTGCTATAGCCCAAGCCTTCTGCATGGGTCTAGGCGCACCGACCCAGATTGCCTAAAATTTACCGGACCACGTAAAACAAAAACTTAGCCTGATTCCTATACTTTCGTATGCTATATAACCCAAGCCTTCTGCATGGGCCTAGGCGCGCGGACCTGGATTGCCTAAAGTCTTAGTGAACCATAAAAAATGACCTAAGGAACAATAGTCACTGTGTCCTCATGACCATTACTTGTTTTTTGGCATTTTCGGGCCATAAAACTAAAATTCCGCCTAATTCCTTGATTTTCATATGCTATAGCACACGTCTTATGCATGGGCCCGAGTGCCCGCACCCGGATCACCTAAAATTTTGCCAGACTAAACAAATAAAGGATCAGTAGTCACTGCCTCGCCATGACCGTTACTCGTTTTTTGGCGTTTTAGGGCCATAAAATTGGAATTTTGCATGATTTCCAGATTTCCATGTACTATAGCCCACGCTTTTTACATGGGCCCGGGAGTCCATACCCGAATCGCCTAAAATTTAGCTGGACCCTCAAAAACAACCTAAGGAACAATAATCACCGCCTCGCTATGATCGTTACTCATTTTTGGCATTTTAGGGCCATAAAATTGGAATTCCGCCCGATTCTTAAATTTTCGTGTGCTGCAGCCCATGCCTTCTACTTGGGCCCATGGGGAAAGTTGGTCAGACCCGGTGTTGTGAAGAGCGTGAAGCGAGGAAAAGCGACAACCCCCATTTCATGAAAAGCGAGAAACGAAGCGCTCTTTTTTTTAAAGTGAAGCGGAATTAAAATTAGCCATTCATTAGCATCATCTATGTTGTCCAAACTAATTGGATCAATTACATTGCGAGCGTTGTAACGACGCCTCAATGTTCTATTGTACTTAATGAAGACTAGATCATTGAGACGCTTCAAGGTTAGTTTGTTCCTCTTTTTGGTATGAATTTGCAAATAATAAGTAACTAGTAAGATTAGGACAATTGAGATATAATTTAATTATCTCAATATACTAAATCTTTCTTATTAGTTCTTACATGCTCAAATACGCTCCAACTCCAAAAAGTTGCTTAGCATTCCTATAAATACTAAACTGCTCTATGATTTTATCTTGCACGGATTCTTTAGGTATCAACTTCTCAATACATTCATAGTATCCATTCCATAAATGTTTATCTCCTAGAATCCCCTCTTTATTGTCATAAAACAGTTCCGGGTTCAAAACAAGTCCAGCTGCATGCAAAGGGCTATGAAGCTTACTATCCCACCTTTTATCTATAATCTCAAAGACTCTTTTGTATTTTCTTTGATCACTAAAAGAGGCTTGAATAGCCTCATTTGCCCTATCAATTGCTTCGTACAGGTAGCCCATTGGTGGCCTTTGCTCCCCATCCACCAAACGAAGCACTTTAACTAAAGGACCACCAATCTTCAATGCATGAACCACATTGTTCCAGAATGAAGGAGAAAGTATAATATCTAGAGATTCTCTCCCTCGAGATTCCCTTCCATAGGCACTGCTAGTGTACTCATCTGAAACAAACAACTTATTCAAATTACTTTTTTGCTCATACACCCTATGCAAAGTCAAGAAAGCAGTAGCAAATCTTGTTTTTGCAGGTTTCACCAAGCTTCTTTGTTTAGTGAATCTCTTCATCATGTTCAATAACAAAGGCCTTTAAACAATATAGAAATACACTCTAATTGCCTGATTAAAGACATTACTGAAGGGTCTTTCCTTGAAAATATCACCGAAGATCAAATTAATGAAATGTGCAGCACACGGAGTCCAATAGATATGCGGGTACCCAGCAGACATCAAATCACCAGCTTTAACATTTTCACTGGCATTGTCCATGACAACTTGAACAACATTTTCTGCTCCAATAGAGTCGATTGTACTCTTGAACAAGGAGTACAGTTTGGTTGAGTCAGTCGAAGAGTCGCTTGAATCAACGGACTCAAGAAACAGGCTTCCCTTAGGAGAATTCACCAAGATATTGATGATCATTTTTTCATTTCTCGCCATCCACTTATCCATCATAATGGAGGCTTCATTCCTAAACCATATTGGCCTACGGCCTTAATAAAAGCAGAAAAAGTGTTAGTATAATTAACACAATTAAAAGGAAGACATGCATCACACATCCACCGGGCAAAGTTTGTAACTGCACGGTCCCACAAAATCGATTCGGCATCAACTTGAGGATTACCACTTTTTCCTCCCTTATCTCTAGTTTTTTGCGGGAAGTAACAATCCAAAGAACCTTTGGTCTTGCCAGTAGATCCACAACTAGAAGACATTGGTGGAAGCATCCTTCCCCGCTTTTGTGATTTTAGTGGAAGTGACGAAGCATCGTCACCTTCTTCTATTTCAACATCATTGTGATGACCCAAGCGGTCATCACTTGTTTTAAATTGAATTCTACGACTCCGAGTCCTTGAAAACCTCATTTAGAGTCACCTCGATTTGCATGCGCAGTCCGGGCGCATAGCCGGAAAGCTTAAATGAGAAACTGTGTGAAAAATGATAAGTTTTGACTATAAACTGAATTAATTTGACTTTGGTCAACGTTCTGGGTAAACGGACCCGGACCTATGATTTGACGGTCCCGAAGGGTCCGTAGGAAAATATGCGACTTGGGCGTATGCCCGGTATCGAATTCCGAGGTCCCAAGCCCGAGAAATGAATTTTTGAAAGAAATTATTTTCTGAAATTGTTTAAGGAAATTTGAAATGAAATTTGATTAGAACATGTTAGTATCGGGCCCGTATTTTGGTTCCGGTGCCCGGTACTGGTCTTATATATGATTTAAGATGTTTCTCTGAGATTTGGTAAAAAACGGACGCCGTTTGACGTGATTCAGACCTAAATTGGAAAATTTGATGGTTTGGAAAGTTTGAAAGAATTTATGGATTTTGAGGTTTAATTCGATGTTTGTAATGTTGTTTTGGCGATTTGATCGCACGAATAAGTCCGTAGGATGTTTTTGAGGTTGTGTGTATATTTGATTTGGAGCCCCGAGGGCTCGGGTGAGTTTTGGATAGGCCACAGGTGCATTTTTGGACTTTGAAATATAGCAGGTGTGTTCTGAGCTGCAGGCTTCGCATTTGCGAAGCCAGACTTGCAAATGCGAGACAACGCCTGTGCAGCCTTCTTCGCAAATGCGAAGATTCCGTCGCAAATGCGATGCCCACCTAAATCCTCTGTCATCGCAAATGCGATATTTCACTCGCAAATGCGAAAGCTGGGAAATTATGAAGGGTTCGCACTGTTTCGCAATTCCCACATATGAGAGGTCGGGGTTCGCAATTGCGAACCCATGTTCGCATTTCCCATATCAGAGACCTGCAATTTTACACTTAAACGATTTGGAACCCCATTTTTCATATTTTCTCAAACTCAAACACACTTAGGCGATTTTCCAAGAACAAGTCTTCTTCCAAATCAATTGTAAGTTAGTTTTACTCATTTCTTTCAATCATTAACATCTTTTAACATGATTTCAACCTAAAATCGAAGATTTTCATGGGGGAAATTGGGTGTTTTGGGTAGAACATAGGTTTTTCAAAAATTGGGGATTTGGACCTCAATTTGAGGTCCGATTTCAAAACAAATTATATATTTGAGTTCGAGGGGGAATGAGTAATCAGGTTTTGGTTCGAACATCGGGTTTTGACCACGTGCCCGGGGCGATTTTTGACTTTTTGGGTAAAACTGTGGAAAACTCATTTTTATGCATTGGGGTTGATTCATTTAGCACTTATTGATGTAATTAAGTAATTTGTGATTAGATACGAGCGAATTAGCGGTAGAATCAAGGGGTAAACCTATAGTTGAGACTTGTGTTGTGTTCAAGGCATCGTGGTAAGTGTCCGGTCTACCCTAGCTTGAGGGATTAAGAGTTGAGTCATATTTGCTATTTGATTCTTGTTGAGTACGATGTATAGGCATGGTGACGAGTTTCTATACGTGGGTGTAAAGCATGACCGTGAGTCTTAAGTTGATGGTTGTTGTGTTCTTCAGTGACACCTCGGATGTTCTAATTGATGATTCTTGATATTGAGTGGAGATTTAGTTTATACTCGTGGACTTTAATTATGCTTGAGTATTGGTATTAATTGGGTCGAGTAGAAGTTGAGCTAGGATTGGTTATAGCTGATTCTCCCTTGCCGGGATGGTTGTTTGATATTGTTGTTCCCTTACCGGGATTCTTTGTGATTTGTGTTGTAATGAAATGGGAGCGGGTTGTATGCCTACCACGTGATATAATGAAATGGGAGCGGGTGGTACGCCTACCACAAGATATAATAAAATGGGAGCGGGTGGTACGCCTACCACAAGATATAATGAAATTGGAGCGGGTGGTACGCCTACCACAAGATATAATAAAATGGGAGCGGGTGGTACGCCTACCACAAGATATATTAAAATGGGAGCGGGTGGTACTCCTACCATAAGATATAATAAAGTGGGAGTGGGTGGTACTCCTTCCACGAGATGAAAAGAAATGGGAGCGGGTGGTACGCCTACCACGAGATATGAGAAATGGGATCGGGTTGCACGCCCGCAACGAGATATGAACCGAAAGTGAAATCTATCTTTATTTTACAATATCCGTGTTACAGTTAACTTGTGGATTTCCTTATTATTCTCTTTAGGTTCTGTATTATTTGCTATCCCCGAAGCATGATTCCCTCCCCAGCTTTATTTTGTTTACTTCTTTTTGTCTATCCTTCAGTTGTATATATGTAACTGCACAGATTTATCTCGAGACTGGTCCTAGCCTCGTCACTCTGTGCTCTTTTGCACAGATCCAGGTACTGGACAGCAGCAGTAGCTCGGGAGCCAGCAATCAGTCCACCGAGACACCGAGGTAGCCTTGCAGGCGTCCGCAGGCTTGGCGTCTCCTCTATCTTATATATTATTCTGTTCTCTCATGTATTCGAGACAAACAGTGAAATATTTCTTTCAAACGGTTGTATTTAGCACTCTTAGTAATCTGTGGATGTTGTGACACCAGGTTCTGGTTAGTGGCACGTGTTGGTCATCAGGATATTTTGGGTTTATATTTATTTAAGACTTTCGCTAAATTTCACATTTCGCTGTTATCTAATTGTTTATTTCCTAATAATTTAATTGGTTAAAAAGGAATTAAGAATGAAGAGGTTTAAAGGTTTTAAGATTGTGGCTTGCCTGGCTTCTACGAGTAGGGGCCATCACGACTCCCGAGGGTGGAAAATCCGGGTCGTGACAATCATCATCATCATCAAGATTATAAAGTTCTTCTTCATGAATCATTTGTGTAATTAACTCTTTCTTTTTTTGAAGTTATGCTTTATATTAATCCTTCACATGCCCCGAAACTTTAGGACAAGATGCGACATTTGGATCACCACCGATTAGATGCGCTTTTTGATGATAGATTCCTCTATTTGTAATCTTATCACAAAAAAGACATGGACAGCTTGTTAGTCTCGTTAACTCTTGCAGAGTAAGCCCAAGTCGGGTCTTTCCTATCTTCTTTTGGATCCATTAAAAGAACAACTACATAACACATAAGAAAGGCAACAAGAACAAAGAATAAAAGATATAATAATTGGGCAGAAATTGGGTAGAAATTTAGGGCAGAAACTGGAAAAATTGGGCAGAATGTTTCTGAAAAAAATTTGCCAGCATTTCGATGCTTTTTGGACGTTTAGAAGAAAAAGAAAAAGAAAAATAAGAAGAAGAAGAAGAAGAAGAAGAAGAAGAAGAAGAAGAAGAAGAAGAAGAAGAAGAAGAAGAAGAAGAAGAAACGAAGGAGGAGAAGGAGGAGGAGAAATGGGGCTGAAATTGTTTAAAAAGTGGGTAAAAGTTAAAACTTTTTAAAAAAAATGGGTATAGGTTAAATGTGGGAGACCAAATAGGGTGCCCCGTGCAATTTTTACCCATAACTTTGTTACTCTCGGTGCCACACTTTTATTTTATACCTTTTTAAATGAAATATCAGTGGAATACCAATACTAATATGAAATTCTACCGGAGCGATCGGGTGGCGTACCACCACCTTCCCTCTACATAGAGCCGCCCCTGGTTGTGTGAGATTCCTTTTTGTATCACAAATTTGTGGGTCCCAATTTTACACTTCTGGGTCCACAAAAATATAAGACAAAAAAATATCTCATACAACTAGTGTTAGTTGTATGAGACACAAAATAAAATTTTCCAAGAATTTGGGAGTGCATACTGCTAGTATTTGGTCGCAGCTGGTAATCAAAGATAGGTGCGCAGAACCCAATAGGTTCGCATTTCCGAGTCTTCAAGATAAAGCATGTGCTTCACGTAATTCACAACCACCCTAACTTTTATGTAAATCTCGTGTAATTACGGTCATAAAGGATCCACAATTTAATATTTACGTGTTACTTACATCGATCTTAAGAAATATAAAATATTAATTAAGTTTACAATAAAAATTTTAATGGTATTAGTATGTAGGAATTGTTATACAAATAGTCCGCCAAAATTAATACCTATTTTTCTAACCGGAATATATATAAATAGGAAGAAAGAAAGTGTTTATAAAAGTTACTAGATTCACATAAATATGTCTTGTGTATAAAATATCCCTCCCCATTCCGACAATCATCGTTCCCATTCCCTCTTTGACCGACTATTTATCAATACTTTCTAGGTAAATTCTAAACTTAATAAGACTTGCATGTAAAAATCGGAGGAAATAAGCCTTACGACTTACGACCATTTATAATGTTGAAATTAAAAAAATGTTTTTTTTGTTTTTTTATGTGTACAAATAAATTTCTCATGTGTAAAAAAAATAAAGCCATAAAATTAAAAATAAGTTTGTAAAAATAACAATTTGACCCATTTGACACGGTGCTCCAGATCTTAACAAACTAGCTATCAAAGGTCAATTTTAGAATTTTAAGGCAGTATGTCACGTCCTTAGTTCTTAACTAAGTACACGTGTGGCACTTGACAACTCGCTACGATCTTGCACAGCTTGCTCACGTTCTTGCTATGCCAAGTCAACCTTACTACACTTAAGATCGCTAAGAGAATGGTAGAAATAAAGAGAATTGTTAAAGGAAGCTTTGTATTAGAGAGAACTTGAATTGTTTGCTTGGTGAATTACAAATGAATGCTCCCCTTTATATACTAGTCTCCTAGGGGCTAGTGTGTAAATATTAATTGTTACACAAGTCCTTAATATTTACAAGATAAGGGCTTTCTCTAGAATTCTCTACAAGCCTAGAAGATTCCAAGGACTTTCCTAGCTAATCCATAAGGAACTAGGGTCTTCCTAAGGAAATGTCCATACTTCTCTAGAACTTTCTCACAAATGCTAGCCTTCCTCTTATGTAAGCTTCCACATTGCATTAATACATGCCAAATGGCGCCTATGTGGCATGATGACGTGGCGGGTCATCACACTCTCCCCCACCTAATATTGCGACGACCGCGGCGCAATGCTGCTGCATAAACTCTCGGATCTTATCTTTGAATTGCCACAAATCTTCATATCGTTCCCACATGGCCTCCTCCGGTGATTGCCTTTTCCAATAGACGAGGAACATAGCGGTGGCCTTTTGCCCTTGTTTTCGCCTGGCCTGGTAATCCATAATAGCCTCAATCTCCCGATCACGCGAGGCGGTGATAGTCATTGGCGCTCGACTTGATCGGCCCCTACTCGGATCATCCTTATCTTCATAATAAGGCTTAAGCATACTGGCATGGAAGACAGGGTAGATCTTAATATACGATGGCATGTCAAGCTTGTATGAGATAGGCTACGATCTTAAATGGCCCCTCATTCTAGCGAATCAGATTTTGATGCATGCCCCGTAGTGCCTTGAACTGTCTTGGGTTAAACTTCACCATGACCATCTTCCCAACTCTATAGTCCGTGGGACGGCGCTTACGGTCTGCAAACTTCTTCATCTTCTTAGCTGCCTTATCCAAGTAGGACTTAGCATTGTCGAGCTGCTCCTCCCATTCTTTGGCCATGTGATAAGCCCACAAACTCCTTCCCTCGAACGCAACTGGCAATGAATGTGGAGTTTGTGGCTGTTGGCCTATGCCTAGCTCAAATGGTGTCCGCCCCGTGGACTCACTCCGCTGCAAGTTATAAGAGAATTAGGCGATGTCTAGGAGCATTGCCCAATCTTCTGATGCGCGCTTACATAATGCCTCAAGTAGCATTCTAATAA